ACCCTCTGCCCACAGATCGCCCCCTCTGCTTCCCCAGCACCCCTCGTATCTCCTTCCTGCACCTCTGAGATGCCCCCCATTTATTCTAGACTGTGAGGTCACACCCCAGGGACCTATCGCACAGACCCTTGGCTGGTCCCTTGACCTACCCCTGAGCTGCAATGTCTCCCCTCGACCCCTCAGCCAGCCTCAGGGATCCGCAGTCATGCCTCCCACCCCCTCTCCCATCCCCTCCCTCTTGATCCCAGCTCTCTTGTCAGGGTTGCTGGTCTCTGCAGGGAGTGGGGGTTTCAGGCAGCCCCCAGACCTGGGATTGAGGCCCCTGATCTTGGACCCTCGGTTGCAGGGGAGGAGGGAGCTGGATGCTCCTGAAAGCGGGGATTGGTGGCCCTGGAAGCAAACACGTGACTGTCTGCAGGGGAGGTTTAGGGGGGACACGGGCCCGGGGGCTGCTGAGCTCCGCCAGGGGGCCCCGCGACCCCCCGCGTGTGCTGCCAGCCCCATCGGTCCCCATTGTTCCAGACTGTATGTTCCGGAACGTCTGCACATCCCCGCTCGCGTCTCCATGGAAACCGCCCTCTCCACCGCCGGTTCCAAGGAAGCCCACCCGGGGACACGCCCAGACCTACAGCCCCCGGTGCCCTGGGGTGCGGCCGCGGGGGTCTGAGTCGTGGGGGCTGCACCTCGCGTGACCCCCACATCATCGCCTGTGCCCAGGGGAGTGGGCACTCGCCCAGACCTGCCTGTCCCCCTCCCCAGGCAGGCAGCAGCACCGCCTCCACCGCCCTGACTGCCTGCAAGACACGAGGCTTTTTTATTTTAGTTGCTAGTGACACCAATTGTGAGTCACAGGATCTGGCGCTGGAAATGGGGGTGTCCTCAGTTCCCCCACTCCAGAAAGTTCAGCGAGGAGCTAGCAGAGCTGAGCAAATGGTCACCTCCACTGCAGGGCAGTGCCAGATCCCACACCTCGTCCACCCTCTGCAGCACATGGGGGTAAACTGAGGCACAGAGCCATCTTGTACTTCCCTAGGGTCACACAGTGGCAGACTCTGAACCCGGGTCTTCCTAGCCCTCGCCCACTTCATGACCAGATACCCACCAAGGATTGGGACCCTAAAAACCCGTCCTTAGAGCTTGCCTGCAGGGCACCCAGGAGAAAACGCTTAAGCAGGAGGAAGCAAGTCCTCGAACGCTTGGTTGGCCAGAAGCGCCCACCACAAATCTCCCAGGGTGGAGGGGAAATCAGCTGGGTGCTGTCCCGAGTTTCCTCTGCCTGTCGCATTGCTCAGGGACCCGCCAGCATTACCTACCTGTTCACACATCCCAGCATGCAGGGAAGCAAATATACTCAGAATCGGGACACTCGCTGGCATAAGGGGTCTCTGGGTGGTGTTTGGGGAGGGGGTTGCTTTTCCTGTTTTGGAGGGGAGGGAGAAATCAAACACACTAGCTGTGCTCAGGGTTTACTCCTGGCTCTGCATTCTCAGGCCATAATACTGGGGGAACAGTACAGGATGCCACAGACTGAATCTGGGTCAGCTTGTACTTCTGGTGCCAGGGCACCTTCAGGGAAGGTTTAGGGGAACCAGGGCCAGGGCTGCTGACCTCTGACGGGCCTAAGGGTATCTTTTGCAGAGGACAGGAGATACCCGGCAGTGCTCAGGAATTACTCCTGGCAGTGCTCAGGGGACCATATAGAATGCAGGGGATCAAACCCAGGTCAGCCACATGCAAGGCAAATGTACTACCTGCTATGCTCTCTTTCCGGACCTGGGGTTGTATTTTTAAAATAACAATATGCTTGGGGCTGGAGCAATAGCACAGCGGGTAGGGTGTTTTTGCCTTGCACGCAGCCAACGTGGCCGACACAGGTTCGATTCCCAGCATCTCATATGGTCCCCCAAGCACCGCCAGGAGTGATTCCTGAGTGCAGAGCCAGGAGTAACCCCTGAGCATCGCCGGGTGTGACCCAAAAAGCAAAAAACAAACAAACAAAAAACAAACAAACAAACAAAAAACCCCAATATGCTTGCTCACCAAAAGCAAAGCTGTGCATCTGGGGAGAAATGGAAGGAATTGTTCTAGAACCTCTCATCCATTTGGGTGCTAGATATGTCTGTGCTTATGATTGAACGCACACACACACACACACACACACACACACACACACACATCCGTGAGCGCATTTTATATCTGAATGCAGAACTCTGAATCCTGATTCCCTCTCATTACACCACCACTTGCCCATGAGTGAGCATCTGTCACCGTCTGAGGCACACATACGTGTTAAGAACGTTGGTGTGGGTGCTTCCATCCAGGCTTCGGGATTCGTCATCAACACGAGGGAGAGTCCACACCCCCAACCTCTCCCCGCTGTGTGTTTGCTGACAAGACGTGGGCATCTGCACCCTAAATAACCTCCCGCGATCCCAGGCGGGGCCTCTGCCATGTGTTTGGGAGTGGGACTCTGGGTGTCAGGTCGTTTGTCCTCTGTGAAGGTACCCTCCGGGACTCCGCTCATTGAGCCCCAGCACTGGTCTGGTCTGGGGGAGATGGTGAAGGCAGAAGGGCCCCGGCACCTAAGGTGTGGGTGACCTACCGCCTTCACCCTTCTCCCACAAATACCAGACGAGGGTTGGGCATCCATCCTGCTTTTTCATTTCCAGGTTTTGGGGCCACACCCAGGGGTGCTCATAGCTTACTCCTGGCATGCCTGGATGACCATATGGGAAGCCGGGAATTGAACCCCGGTTGGCAGTGTGCATAGCAAGCAGCTGGCCACCCACTGTACTTCCTCTGACCCCGTTTCCTCCTTTTATACCTCAGCTCCCTAATGGTCGGCACTCCCACTTCAGCTCAATCAACAACAAAAAGTTACAGCATGGAACCAGAGTGACAGTACAGCAGGGAGGGCCTCACCTCACAGGAGGCTGACCTGGCTTCTGTCCCCCACATTCCATTCCATGTGGTCTCCTGAGCAGAGTCAGGAGTCAGCTCTGAGCACCGTGAGATGTGGCCCAACCCCCCTACGCCCCCCCCCCAAAAAAAATTCTAATGTAACAATCGAAGACAAAAAAAAAAAACTGAAAATGGGCACAGGACCTTTGAGATGGTGCCCTGGGCAGAAGTAGAGGGGTGGGTGTGGGGGGAAGGGATGGGGACTAAGCACTGGAAGCTGAACTTCTTCAGGTACCGGGAATAGCAAAGCCACGCATTCCACGCATTACCGCCCCCCCCCCCCCCACACACACACCGTCTGGGGTAAATGGACCAGGTGTGGGAGGGATGCTAGAGATACAGCATGGGGCGTGGGCTCATGCTCTGCCCATGGTTTAGGTTTGTTCACAACTACCCTGGACTCACGTGGCAGCTCTTGAGAAGGCCCAGCCGTCAGTGTCCAATGCAGCAGACCCACTGGACACGTCCTTTAGGGACCACGCGATGTTCCTCAGAGGGGGCACAGCACACCCGTGGGCATCTCCCGGTGAGGCCAAACTCCGACACTCCCCAGAACACAAAGAACCAAGAACGCAAGGCAGGTTGAGGGGACTTTATTCAAACCACGTTTTAAAAAAGAGAATAAGGCCACAGGACCTATTTAAAAAATAGTAACAAATCTAACATGTAACATGGACATAAAAACACTGAAAATGTTTTAACAAAAACATCATTTCAGATTAAAAAGTGTTTGACGGGCCAGATGGACACACTGGCCCCAAAAGTGCTGGGCTCCAAAGTGCTTTAACTGCTGAGTTCCAGCCCCACCGGAGGGTGGGCGACTTCCAGGTGAGGATGAGCACGGCATCTTCCTACCCATCCACGGGCCGGAGTACAGGTTGTTTAGTCCCGCTGGGAGCAGGGCTGAAGAAATAGCACAGCGGGTAGGGCGTTTGCCTTGCACGCAGCTGACCTTCGTCTCTCTTGGACAGCCCGGCAAGCTATGGAGAGTATCCCACCTACATGGCTGAGCCTGGCAAGCTCCCCGTGGCATATTTGATATGCCAAAAACAGTAACAAGTCTCAAATGGAGATCTTACTGGTGCCCACTTGAGCAAATTGAACACTGGGAGGACAGTGCTACAGGGAGGCGAGCACTGACGAGAGCCAAGGGCATCTGTCAGGGACACGCTCCCAGGGAACACCTGGCAGGAGAGTGGGCTCGGGTCAGCCAAGGCTGGGGGACCTGCGTTATCCTCTGCTGTCCTCCCCCCAGCCATTCCTTACATCCTTCCCTCTCCTGCCCTTCCCTAGAGGGGCAAGACTCCCCACCATAGGCGTGCCAGGATGTTCCTCTTCCCAGTGTTCCTCTTTACACCCAGCAAAGGTCTTCTGAGTGCAAACAACCAATTCCCAGGCCCCCCAAACGTGGCCATTCCAGGGCTTCCAGCCCCCCACACGGTCAGGCACCCGACACCCCCAACTGTTTCAAATGCTGACTCAACGCCCAGCCTCCCTTACTACGGAGGGCCCCTCTGCCTGCCAGCACCCCAGGGTCCCCAGGGATCCCCTTCCTCTGGGGACTGTAACCAACGACTTCCTGCCCCAGCCTGGCCTCCAGGTCTGCCAGGGCAGTTCTAGAACCTGCATTTAAAACAAAACAAAACGGTAACACTGGAGCTAGGGCCCTAGAACAGCAGGGAGGGCGCCTGCCTTGCACAGAGCCCACAAAGGTTCAATCCCCTGCACCCCACCTGGTTCACCGGAGCACCAACAGGAGTGATCCCTGAGCACAGAGGCAGGAATAAGTCCTGAGCATCACCGGGTGTGGCCCCCAAGAAAGAAAACCACTGAAATGCTATGTCAGTCCCGGTGTCAGATTGCAGGCAGGGGTGAGCCTCAGGAAAGAGACTGCAGGCTGAGGGGGGCTGCAGGGGGAGGCGGGGCCTGTAGGGGAGGTGGGGCTGCAGGAGGCGGGGCCTGCAGGAGGCGGGGCCTGCAGGGGAAGGCACATCTCCCGAGAAGTTGCAGTTTCCCAGGAGGGGCAAAGAAGCAGAGCAGCGCCCGCCAGGGCGTCAGCTGTCCAGCAGTTCCCGGACCACGATGCGCAGCGGGCAGATGCGCATCGCCTCGGGCTGGCCCGGGCCCTCGCCCCGCGCGCCCCCCACGTAGAAGTAGGGCCGCACTTCCCCGAAGCGGGCGTGGAAGGTGTAGAGGTGGCAGCCGCGCTCGGCGTCGTAGAAGGACAGCTCCCCGCCGTCGCAGTCCAGCTCCACGCGCAGCCGGCGCGGCAGGCCGGGCCCCAGCGGCGAGGCGGTGGGGTCCGACGTGACGCAGTGGTCGCCGCCCACGCCCTGCGTGCGGCTCAGGTACCAGAAGCCGGCGCGGGCGTCGTGGTAGCAGCTGTGCGCCTGGCCCTCGGGGCCGGCGTTCGCCCGGGCGCGCGCCACGCCCACGCGCCAGCTGGACAGCGCCCCCAGGTCCACCTCCCAGATGTGGGAGCCCCGCGAGAAGGTGCGCGAGCCCAGCAGGCAGGGCGCCGAGGCGAAGCGCTCCGGGTTCTCCACCTGCACGCGGTAGCCCTGGTTGGAGACGCTGGTCAGGTCCTCGGACACGGACAGCCAGCCGGCCGCGGTGTTGGGGTCCAAGCTGAAGGGCACTGCCGGGAGTGGGGGGGGGGGGCGGCGTCAGTGGTCTTGGCCAACCCTGTTCCCCCCGCAGAAGGGAACTCCAGGGGGTGAATCCAGAGGAGCTGTGGCCTCAAGGGGCCTTACAGGGTCCAGGCTCCATGAGGGGAGATGGGAGTGGAGGGTCTGACCCAAGGAGGCCGCGGTCCTCAGGAGAGGGGACAGACAGGGCGAGGGCATGGATCCACGAGGCAGAGGGCGCAGGCCAGCGGGACCCCCGAGACTCCAGGCTGGCAGGTTGCAGGACCCAGGACTCCAAGCCCAGCCGCTGACCCAACTTCATTCAGTGCTCAGAGCCAAACCACTCCCTCCCTTTCAGAGGTGGCTCTGGGCCCTGGTCTAAGGTTTCCACTGGCAGTCAGGCGGGTCCTGATGCTCCCACAAGGGCCAGGACAGCTTCGAGACATGTCGCCACCCGCAATGTGGCTGGTAGCTACAGCTACAGAAATCGCAGCCCCGATCAAGTGCCAGAGCGGCTGTGGGTGCGAGGGAGTGCCCCGGGTTCTGGGGGCCTGGCCACCTCCCCACTGCATCCTCGCAGAGGGCCAGACGCCTTCCTGCACCCCCACATCGAGACTCATCACTGCCCAATGCCACTCCACAGTGGAGCGGGAGACAAGTCCTTGGCCCAGAGCGGGGCTGGCACCTGGAGAGAGCGGGGCCAAGGAAACGTTCTGCCAGGCCTGCTGGGGCAGGAGGTGGGCACACTCACCGGACTCCACAGATGCCATCATCTTCCTCCAGACCCGGTACGGCAGCGAGTCCAGGTGCTTGCAGACATCCAGCAGCAGGCCGGGCTGCACGGGCTCAGGCTCCATGGTGCAGAAGAGGCTGCAAGGAGAGGCGGGCGGTGGGTCCCACATCCAGGTCCCAGGGCACCCCACTGCTGCAAGGAGCTGCCATGCCCTGGCCCCCACCTCTAGCCAGGCAGACCCAACCAGACTCAGGGGCGCACGTCAAGAGCCCAGTGGTCAGCTGGCCTGGCCCAGAAGGTTCTGGGACACGGTCCTCCCCTAGTGGAGATGGAAACTGCCTCAAGGATGCCCGGGACAGAGGGAAACTTGGGCCCCCCAATCTCCTCTCTCTGCACAGCCTATCCAAGGACCCAGCCTGCCTCATTCCACCCTCCGCCCCTAAGTGGGGTATCCTGAGACTGGGAGGGTCTGAGATGTTGGGGGGGAACCCTCAAGGGAAGGTCAGGTGCAGGAGGGCAGCTGCCCCATGCGCAAGTGGACAGCCCGGGGAGGCACCCCAGGGTCCTCCTCCCCACTGCACCCCGCCGCCTCCCTGACCTGCTGGCCCAGAGCCACTGGCGTCCACCCCCCTACCGCCCATCTGCTCTGACCTGGCCACTCACCGGCGCTTCCGGCTCTTGTGTTTCTGAAAGAGAAGTCAGATGGAACACGGGTCAGTTTCCGCTGCACAGAGGAACCCCACGTACAGCTCCCGGCTGAGCCAGTCCCACTCCCGTTCCTGGGATGCCGCCCTCGGCAGCTTCTCTGGCCTGACCCTGGCGGGAAGGTCCCAGCCTCCAGCATGGTGCAAAGGACAACGGTGCCCCGGGTCCCGGCATCCTCCCTAGCTCACCATGAGGAAGGAGACGTCATCCTCCTTCAGCTCCTTCTGCAGCCGCTCCATCTCGTGGGTCAGTGCCTCCGCGTCCTCGGCCAGCCGCTTCATCCTCTCGTCAGCCAGGCCCTGCTTCTGCCGCGCCTCCTCGGCCACGGCGTCCAGCACGGCCTGCTCCTCGGCCTCCAGGAACTCCCGCAGCTTCTCAAACTCGCGCCGGATGCGGCCCTCAAGCCACGCACGCTCCCCCTGCAGCAAAGAGGAGGCAGCTGCCGCACAGGAGACTGCTCAGCGCCCCGGGACCCCTCTGATAAGCCCCAGCAGATAAGAACAGAGGATGCGGCTTTAAGTTTTCAATAAGTTAAGAGGCATAATGAGGTTTCGATAAACTCTGTGTGTGAGTGAGAGTGAGAGAGAGAGAGAGAGAGAGAGAGTGTGTGTGTGTGTGTGTGTGTGCGCTGGACAGAAGGATATGACTGAAGCCCAAAACAAAAGCTCCTATTTTCACCTGCCGCCAAGACACGGAACCAAGCTCAGTGCTGTGCCCGGTCTAGAGTATCCACTCAGGAGAGCGTGAAGGTGTGTAAGAAACTGCAGACAGCCACAGCAATAGCACAGCGGGGAGGGCGCATGCCTTGCATGCAGCTAACCCAGGTTCGAGTCCTGGGACCCCATATGGTGTCCCCTGAGCCCCAACAGGAGCGATCCCTGAACACAGAGCCAGGAGTAAGCCCTGAGCACAGCTGGGGGTGCCCCCCAAACAATGGAAAGAAAAAAAGAAAAAGAAAGGGCACAAAGTGGAGGAACTCTAAAACACGGGAAGCTCATCCCTGCACCAACACAACTGCCCGGCCAAGGAATTCTGCTGGGGGAAGGACACAGGCGAGAACTGATGGTGTCAGTCAGCTGGAAATAAAAAAGCAAATCAATGACATAAAAAGCCTGCTTCCTCTCTCCTTCCTGCTCTTCTTTGGTTTTTAGGTCATACCCAGCAGGGCTCAGAGTTTACTCCTGGCTCTGTGCTCAGGGATCTCTCTGGCCTCCAACCCATCCTTAAGATAGAGAGAAAAGGGGCTGGAGAGGTAGTTCAGCAGGTAGGGCACTGTGATGCACACAGTCGATCCGGGTTTGATTTCCAGCACCACAAATGGTCCCTATGCACTGCAGAAGTGATCCCTGAGCTAGGCAGTACACCCTGCATACCACAAGGCGGAGTACCAGGGGGTAGGGGCTAGAGTTGCAGGGAAAGGGGGTCCCTGGATGCTGGGGGAAGGAAGGCAGACTTCCATGGTGATCATGGCATGCGGTAGACAGACGTCCAAAGATACAGTCACACCCCAAAACTCCCACCATAAACCAATGGTGTCAGGATGTGAAAAAAAAAAAATGAAATTGTCAACACACGCAATTTCCAACCTAGATCTTCAGAGAAACAGGCAGGGGAATCCCAAAATCACAAACTTCCCAACTCAGGACTGCAAACTCACTGATCTAGAGGTTTTTCCGGAAGAGCAGGAGGAAGTATTTCTTTAAAATCCAAGTCCCTAATACTATGGGCTACTCAGAACTATTAAAAACCCTGTAGACAAACGCTCTCCACTGGCGGGCCCAGAGCGGTGTTGTGGGCGAGGAGAGCCCTCACAGGACCCTTCAACACGCAGACTCCAGTTTCAGAGGGCATCGGGGGCGGGGGACATCAGTGTGTAAGTTCAGGGGGCCCTGAGCTCCAAGAGAGCAGGTGGGCCCTGCGCATGTGGGAGCCGGGATCAGAGGGCATTTGCAGGGAGGGTTTCAGGGGTGTGGGGACTAGGAGAGATCTGAGTGGCGGACGTACGGCTAGGGGCAGGACTCGGGGCCCCTCGGACAGTGGCTATTGGCAGCAGAGCACGGGGGCGCCAGTGCTGAAGTGGGTGGGTGGGAGTGCAGGGGGCATGGGCGGGCCCTGAGGTCACCCACACCCACGGCGACTGGCATGTCTGAGGGGAGGCAACAGCCAGTCAGTGTCCCAGGCCAGGGCCAACGCGCCCTGCCCCCTCACCTGGTTGTGCTTGGCGATGGCCTCATAGGAACGCCTCACAGCCCAGAAGGCCTTGGCTTTCTCCCGCAGGGCGTGCTCCATGTTCCGGCACCGGGCCTGTGGGGACACGTGGGCAGGTTAGGACTGCAGGGGCCCTGGGAGCCAGGAACAAGAACATGCACACAACCCCAACCTCCCCCTCCTTCCTGGACGGCGAGGCCGCAGGTGACACCTCCAGGGAAATCCCGGTCTCCACCAGAGTGTGGAGGGCCAGCTGGGAGGCGGCACACAACCCACCCTCCCAACCCTCCCCCCACCCCCGTTCCAGGGCCCCCCTTCAACCAGGGCAGCCTGCATGGGCCTGCAGCTGCCCAGACAAGGCTCCAAGCCCAAGCCCTGATGTGCAGCACCTGCAGGTCTGGACTGCGGGAAGGGGGAGGGGGGCACGGAGCTGTCCCCACCGGGGTCCTGACCACAGGCTGCGTAGTGGTTCCGAAGCACAGGGGTTGTGCCTCCCACTCACCGCCTCCCTGCAGCTCCGGCCTGGTGCTGGCTGAGCTTCTCTGGGGCGGGAAAGTCTCCCCAGTGCAGACCCGCCAGGCTGCTGAGTCACCTGGCGGGCTTGGCTCAGAGCTCCGGGGGGCAGGGATGGGCAGAGTCCCGAGAGCCCCTGCGCCCGAACCCTATGCCAGGCCTGGGGTGCTGCCTGTGGGCGTCCCTCCAGCCCCGAGGGCTGATTCAGGGCTCTGCCCCAGGAGGCCAGGCCCCAGCTGCCCCGGGTCCACACCTGGCACGGGTGCGAGTGGAAACCCAGGTAGGTAGGCCACTGGGAAGGTGGGGGGACGACAGGACACGGAGGTGGGGGGGGGGGTCCCCCTGCACGCCCTACCTCCTGTCCAGGACCCAGGGTCTCCAGCCCGCCCTGGACGCACCTCCAGCTGCGGGAGCCCGGGGCTGGACTCCGGGGACTCCCCGACAGCCCCCGCCAAGAGCCACACTCGCTGTCCAGTGCTCCACGCCCCGCGCAGCAGCTGCAGCTGCTGCTGTTTTAGAGGAAACGCAGCGAGACCGGGGCGGGACGGTCCCACCCTCGGCATCAGGGCGCTAAATCCCAGAGCACCCGGGGGTGCCAAGCCTTTCCCTCCCGCGGGAGGCAGGCCGGAACCCGGAGGGAGCCCCTGACCCCTGACGCCTCCAGCCCGCTGCGGCGGGGGATGCCCGAGGGCCGCCGGCCGCTGGTGGGGCGGGCACCCCGGGGACCCTCACCCGGAAGTCCAGCGCCGTGTCCCCGACGGGCTGCACGCGGTGGCCCTGGTGGCGCGGCTCGGCCTGGCACGCGCAGCACAGCAGCTCCTGCTCGTCCAGGCAGAAGAGGCCGAGCGGGGCGCGGTGCGAGCGGCAGAGGCGCGCGGGGCGGCCGCCCTGGGCCTCGTCGCGCCGCAGCTGCTCCACCAGGTTGTTGAGCGTGTGGTTGGTGCGCAGGGCGCCGGGCAACGCGCGCTCCTGGCACACGGGGCACGCGGGCGCCGCCTGCGCCTCCCAGCAGCGGTTCACGCAGCCGCGGCAGAAGTTGTGGCCGCACCGCAGCGTCACGGCGTCGCGGAAGGGGTCGTAGCACACGGCGCACAGCAGCTCCTCCTTGAAGGCGCGCGACGGCCCCACGGCCGCGGGGCACGACGCGTCCATGGCCCGAGTCCCCGCCGCGGCCCCGCACGAGCTAGGGCCACTTCCGCACTCCACGCGGCTACGGCCGCACTCCGCGTGGCTACTTCCGCGTCGCGCGAGTGACACGGGCGCCGGCCAATCGCGTGGGCGCGCGCGGCAGAGGAGGCACCCTACTTCCGGGAAAACTCCGGAAGAATGGGGGGCGGGCCCGCGGGATGGGCGGGCTCAGACCCTGAGCTGGGCCCGGATTGGACCCCCCTGGGGGAGGGCTTTCGTGTCGCCGGAAGCTCACTTCCGGTGGGAAGGGAAAGTGTTTCTGGAAACCGGTCCCCGGAAACCTGTGGCACTGCGGTTCCTGGTTCCGGGGGTAGACTGCGGCTTCGACTTGCAAAATTTACTTAAGGTTTTTGGGGGTCCGCCTCGAAGATCAGTGCCCACTCAGGCGTCAGTTGTTGGGCCAGGCTAGTTTCTGGCCGCGGGGGTGCGTGAATAAGTGGGAAAATCACAACCCTTCATAATATCTCCCGCTCCATGGACAGAGAGGATTGGCCTTGGCTTCATGAGATGGGAGGATTACAGGGAGATCAATGGGTTGACCTCTGACAGGGTTTCAGGGCAGGGAGGACTTACGCAAAGGGAGATGCAGAAGCTGGAACCCAGGTGTTAAGGATTAACGCAGTTAGATGAGGAAACTGGAATTGAGGATGAATTCGCGCAGAGAGCAGCTCTGGATCTCCGCACTCTGCATTCCTGCCCGGCTTTGCCGCCCTTGCAGTCTGCAGGGGCAGCGTCCCTTTGTCCTGGCTTTTCTGCTAGAGGACAGTGTGCCTCTGTCTCGTGTTTCTGCACGGGATCAGGGACAGCCTCTGCCTTGCATTCTTTTAGTTTTCTTCGAGAATGCATCTGATGGGGGCTGCTGGCAGTGAGTTTTGGGAAGTCAGAAAACACAAAGGGTCTAAAGAAGTTCCACTATCACCACCTCGAAAGCAGCCTCATAGCATGAAGGCTGGACCACTTCATTCGGTCCAATGAAACTTTAAAGGAAAGGCTGGACCCCCCCAGGAGTGGAGAAACCTGCCCCCAAAGTAAGAATCTACAAGAAATTCAAAGTCTTTTCCTCTTGACAGTGTTCTCAAATAGATTTCTAGACATAATTAGACTAATTATCTGATAATTATTATTAAGTTTTTATTTTAAAACAATTATTTAATAATTTGACATAATTAACTCTTGGACATTGAAGTCCTCCAGTAGAGATGTGGTTAGGACGGGAACACCTGTAAACCCAAATTCGCAGGGGCCTGCATGATAGTACAGTGGGTGGACTACTTGCCTTGCACACTGCCAACGCGGGTTCAATCCCTGGCATCCCATATGGTCCCCCGAGCACTGCCAGAACTCATTCCTGAGTGCAGAAACAGGAGTAGCCCCTGAGCATCACCAGAGTGCCCCTCCCCCTTCCCTCCAAACAAACAACCAGATTTGCAAAAGCAATCAGCACGTTTCCCATCTGGGGTTGCCCACTATTCAGTCTGCAGTTTGGGCGTATAGCCTCCTCTCTCTGACCGCTGGAGAAGCCCACATTCTCTGTTCTCTCTTGAGCACCCCCTCCCTCCCTCCTTCTCTTGCCCTCCCTTCCTCCCTCCCCCTGTCTTTCCTTCTCTCTTTCTGGCTTTCTCCCTCACTTCCTCTCTCACTCTCTCTTTCCCTTTCCCTTTCTCCCCCTCCTTCGTCTCTCATTTCTGCTCCTCATTTTTTTTAGTAAATCCTTTTTACCTGGCTGTTTTTATCTCCTCCTGTAATTTTTTTTTTTTTTTTTTGCCAGCATGGAACTTGACCCTGAGAACCTGGGCAGAGCTCGGAACTGACTCTTCTTTCTGTGCAAAGAGCAATCTTGGCTCCCTGCTGAGGCCACACAGCTCCCGCCAAACTCTTGTAGATCTGGGCCATGTCGATCAAGTGACAGCAGGTGCTGTTTGGTAGCTGCCTTATGGGGCTGGTGGCATGCCTGTGTCCACACCATGAGGGTGCTGCTAACAGATTCAGCCAGTCCTGCGCACCTGCCCTCCACCCCTGCACTTCCCTGCAGATGGAGGTAGGTGTAGAGAGCAGGTAATAGCACTCGTGTGAGGGTTACTGCCCCCATACTCTCCCGCCTCCCACTAAGAACACCCCAATGGTGTCTTGGGGAAATAAAGTCTCCCTCTGGGCAAAGGTCCTTAATCTCCTTAAACTCCAGTCCAGCCCTTGTCATGTGACCAACCACTGTGAGGAAGAAGTGACCCTTCAAGGACGCAGGAGCAAGATGCCTGGGAATAACCTGAGTTTCAACAAAGCAGCTCTCACACAGTGCTCTTTCAGGGGCCAACTAGAAAAAAAAATTTTTTTTTTAACTGTTCAAGGTTCACTGCAGACAACATGCTTTCTCGCTTAACTAGAAGGCCAGCCGACGCTGCCAAGCAGGATGTGATAATAAATGGATGAAACCTTCGCCTGGACTCCAGCTGGGGGTTGTTCAGTCACTGAGCCCCTCGCTCTCAGCCCCTGCAGGTTGATAAAGCCTCTGCAATTCGGCCAACAAGCTTGTTCGAGACTTCTGGAAAGCTCTCACACTGCAGCACCATCATTCCATCAGCGTGTGGGGTCGGGGGCTCAGCCCGTACTGACTTCAGCTACAGGTGCAGGGCTCCCCACAACCAGCACCCGCAAAACTCCGAGGGCAGCTCGCAAGTAATGCTCCAGCCCTTGAGGGCTCCTGGCACCGTCTTTCCAAGCTTCTAGGGCTCGGAATAGCCCTTTGGGGTCCGAGACACAGCTCAGGGGGCCAGGCACGGGCTCCCCACATCCCAGGGGCTGTTCCCACCACACGGTCCCCCCAAGCAGCCCCAGGAATGACACCCAAGCAGAGTCGAGCATAGGCCCTGAGCACCACTGGGTGTGGCCCCAAACAGACAAAACAAGAATAGTCCTTCCACCACAAGGCCATGGGGATGAAGACCCAGAATTCCTCATCCCCTTTCTGGAACATTCCTTGTCTGGGGTCAGGCTCCTCCTGCCACTGTTTGGGAAAGTCGCTCACGCAGATTTCTGGGCCCACATCCTTTTTCTGGGGAAAGGCCTGAGCACGTGCATTTTCACCTACTCTAGGTGAGAATCAGACCCGGGGGGAGTTTCTAGAGCATTCAGGGTCCGGCTATTGGCTCCAGCGGTAACCTTAGCGGCAGTGTCCAGGAAGGCCACTAGAGGGCGCCAGCAGCCTGCTGCACCCCCTCCCCCCCCCCGCCCCTCCCCTTACCAACCCCGGCCCCCTCTCGGGGAAATAGTGACTCATGTACTTGGTTTCAGCCTGTTCCCGGAGCACAGAGTTCTGGCTTCTCCTGGACGGGTTTTGCTGTCTCTGTTTTCCATCCGGGCTTCATGTGATTTCCCTGTGCAATTTTTTTGTTGTTGATTTTGTTATCAGGATCACCGCGTGGGTGTGAGGCTGAGGAGGAATGTAGAGATGCTATCTTTTCCTTTTTTCTTTTCTTTTCTTTTCTTTTCTTTCTGATTTTTTTCTGTAGGATATCAAGATTCACATTAAACCAGTAAGGTTCTCCCATCTCCCCGGAACTCTAGAAAGGATTTGGTTTCTAATCCAAGCTCCACTAACCAACCAGAGGGGTAGGACTGGGACATAATATTTCTCTCACTTGATGCCTTTTCCTGGAGCATGAAGGGGAAAAAAATGACCCGGGTGTTCCAAGTTCTTACCAGAGTGTTATCCTTCGTCCCTCCATCCCTCTCTCTCACCTCTCTCTCTCTTTCTCTTTCTCTCATTCTCTTTCTCTCCTCTTCTCCTCTCCTCTTCTCCTCTCTCTCTCTCTCTCTCTCTCTCTCTCTCTCTCTCTCTCTCTCTCTCTCTCTCTCTCTCTCTCTCTCTCTCTCTCCCTCCCTCCCTCCATGTACAATGTCGCTAGAGACAGGCACTAAGCCCCAGCAGCCTTAGAACCGGTGTCTGCTTTCTGACTCTGCTCAGTAGGAAGCATTTCTAAAGGGACAGCCCTGAAGTTTGGATCCTGGCTGTGACCAGCCCCACGGCCAAGATCTATAGGCCTGAGCAGTAGCAGAGGGTTCAGGCATCCACCCACTTGCCGCCAACCTCAGTTCGATTCCTGGCTCTGCAGATGGTGCCCTGAGTGATGCTGGCAGTTGCTCCCGTGCACAGACAGGAAGAGCCCTTGAACTCTGTCAGCTGAGGCCCAAAGCCCCCTCCCAGAAAAGCCCCTTGGCAGCCACTTCTGTTTCGCTCAGCTCGCACCCAGGCCCCCTGGCCTCGCCCTGCTCCATCTCCAAACCCTGCCACCATCTGTAAGGAACGACAACTATTTCCCAGAGGTCGTGTTTGGGAGAGCCAGGGAGATGGCCACAGCACGCGCCTTGTGGGCAGAGGGGCTGAGTTTTATCCTGGCCGAGCCCGGCAGGGTGGGATCATGGTGGCCCTGAGGACCACCAGGACAGTCTTTGAAGCCCTCCACAGGCGGCCTGAGCAGGGAGGGGGTGGGGGGCAGTTGCTGCTACCTCCTCTGCCTGTGAAGGTCCAGATTTCCCAGCCCCTCTCAGGAGAAAGATTCTTCTTGTTCCGCAGAGTGGTCTTGGCAGCCTGTTTGGAAATCGTGTGACCATATGCACAAGCGCTGGTTAGTGGTTCTTTTATTCTATTCCATTCGTCTCTGCGTCAGCCACCTGTCCTGTGGCATCTGGACTTCCGCCGTCCCCGCTGAGGCCACGCTGCTGTCCATTGCCAAGGTACACCCAGGCCACTCTGAGACCCGGAGAAGTAAAACCTGGTCCGACTTCCCCCCTTCCTGTAGCTGACCACCAGGCTGACCACCAAGTTCCTTCCTCCCCAGCGTTCTTGACTAGTCTTTTTTTAAAAATTTTTATTAGTGAAACACCATGAGGTACAGTTGTAGACTTGCAAATTTTTGTGCTTGGGTTTCAGTTATACAATGATGAAGTACCCATCCCTCCACCAGTGCCCATTCTCCACCTCCAGTGCTCCCAGTATCCCTCCCACCCCCATCCCCCCATCCCACCCTGCCTCTGTGGCAGGGCATTCCCTTTTGTTCTCTCTCTCCTTTTGGGTGCTGTGGTTTGCAAAAGAGGCATTGGGTGACAATCATGTTTGGTCTATAGTCTACTTTCAGCATGCTTCTCCCATCCTGGGAGGATCCTCCCAAAACCCTTTATTTGGTGCTCCCTTCTCTATCTGAGCTTCCTTTCCCCCTAGAGTGTGCGGCTGGCCTCCAAGCCATGGAGTAAACCTCCTGGTACTTATCTCGGCTACTTTTGGGTGTTAGTCTCCTATTTTGTTACTTTATGTTCCCCAGTTGACTAGTCTTTTTGAGAGACGCAGGGTAGCTTTCTTTGCCTCAAGCCAGTAGGTTGCAGAACGGAACTTGCACTTTTTCCCCCCTGATTTACCGAAATAGAAAATAATTGCTGTGCCACGCTGGGTAATAGAGGGGTGCCCTCGGGTGCTGGCGAGCTCGTGGGGGTGTGAAGTGCCCCAGATGCTCGCATTGGGCGGTCTCTTGCTTGTGCCAGACATTTTGTTTATTTCTTACCTACGGGTTCTTCTGGCTAACAGCGGATCCGCCCCAGCTGGCTTCCACTTCCTGGAGAAGCTTCCAGCACAGTGTGGGCTGGGAGCAGAGAACCCGGTTGCTGAGAACCACACGGGCCCCCCAAATCCAGGATGGTTCATGGGTCACCCCAATGCTTCAGGACTGACCTGCAGGCTGGCATGAGGACGGCCGTCAGGGAGACTCTGACAGGTGAGCAGGAGATTGAGAGGCTAGAGACCAATGCCTCAGGGCTCATGGCTCCCCCTGGGCACAGGGTAGGTGTGAGCAGACACAGCTGCGTCACCTTGGTCTCTGCATCTTGTCACCTCACACCGTCCTTGGTGGGTCCGTTTCTCCACGCCAAGGCATGTTCTCCAACACTGTTTTTGAACATGGTTCCAGGAGGCAGTGTGGACCCGTGGGTGAGAACCACATCAGGACAGAACAGATGCTTCTTGAGTATGTATAAGCAGAATGTGCATACTAACTACATAACAGAGACCCGTCTCTGTGTAACAGGTATGTCTGTATCCACGTACAGCAGCTGTACACGAGCTGTGGAACGGATATCCATGAGCTTGCTGTCACAGGTGCCTGTAATATATAGAACAGGAAGACACGCATATTGACAGAACCACTTCCTGTGGAGATCTGTGACATACTTAGGCATATCTATGGAGAAAATGACCACATAATATCTCTCTGGTAGCTATTTCTACAGGATCTATGTCACAGATATAAGCCTAGCAGATAAATGTAATACCCATATACCAGATACAGGTAGTAGCCATGAACTAGGTATCTGGAGCAGATATATGACGGATAGATACGTCAAATCTGTGTCACAGACTGTCCGGGTCATAAATGTCCATATGACAGGCGACTACAGAATATCTCTTTGCGTGACCATAATATCTATAATACGACATTGTGTCTGGAAGTAGTATAATGGAACAGATAGGTGTGTAATATCTATGTGCAGGTACGTGTAGACTATCTCGATAACGGAATACACCCAGGGCACAGACAAGTCAGTTCACCACTAGCCAACTCTCAACCCTCTCCCTGCTATTCCCCACAACTCCACGCCTGGGTTCTAAATGCCTCCCTCAGGGGCTGTACAGCGGGTTGGGCATTTGCCCTGCACACAGCTGATGCTGGTTTGATTCCTGGCACCCCTACATGGATCCCTGAGCACCCCCAGGAGAGATTCCCCGAGCTCAGAGCCAGGAGTTAGCCTTGAGCAGCACTGGATGTGGCCCCCAAACCAAATAACACTGCCCCCAGCCCACACGGGATTGCTACCTGAGCTGTGTGCCCTGTGGGCAGATGGGAGGCAGAGACAAGGCTGTTCCCTGGTTGAAGTCACTTCCTGCTGACCGATCTCTCCCCTGACGCCTGCCCCACCGACCTTATCTCTGACAAACGACAACCCCACACCCTCAGCCCCTGCACCCCAGCCCTTGATGCCCTTCTCAAGGGTGGGTAGAGGTGTCACTTCCAAGGGTCTCAGCAGCACCCACCCTGTCCACATTTGCCTCCCCACTGACTGTCCCAGCCCCCCGCGTCCACCCAGGCACCCTCCCCTGCTGCCCGGTGGCTCCAGCCCTCTAGTCTGCCGCTAGCTGAGACCACTCTGAGTGTCTCCCCAAACCCTCTAGGACAGGGTAGGGGTGGGGGCTGGAAGATCCTGCAGGCCGGAGGCACAGTAACTCAGAAGAGGAAGCAGCAGGTGGACAAGGTGCCCAGAAGGGGGTCCCGGGCCAAGGGTTGATGGAGGGGAAAAATGCCTCCCAGTACACGGTACTGGGGTACTGTTGCTGACCCCCATGGGCACCCCGCAAGGAGGCATGAGATGACATGGTCTGGGGAAGGGCCGAGACAAAGCACAGGGTTCAGGTACTGCCCTGCATGCAGCGACCCTGGTTCAATCCCCGGGACTCTGTATGGTTCCTGGGCACTGCCAGGAGTCAGCCCTGAGCACTGCCAGGAGTCAGCCCTGAGCACTGCCAGGAGTCAGCCCTCAGCACAGCCAGAAGGGATCCTGAGCACAGAGCAGGAGTCAGCCCTGAGCACCACCTGGAGTGGCCCCCAAACAAACAAAATAAGGTAAGATAAAAATCAGGTAACTAGGGGCCTGAGAATCTGCCTTACAGGCACGAGAACTCAAGTTTGATCCCTGGCACTGCCCCATATGCCAACTGTGACTTCAGGGGACACTGCCAGTTGGGACTGCAGAACGTCGGTGCACTGCAGCCAAGAGTGCGCGGGTTGGGGGGTGCATTCATCACAGTAACAACAAGACAGGGAAGGAGTGTGGGGGAGGCTGGTATCAATGACCCTGGGCAACCCAGCTCCTACAACGGAAGTCTCATCCCCGCCTCCCGCGCGCCATCTCCTGCCAGAGAACTCTTCAGAGTCTCTTTCAACAACCAAACCTGCACTTCTACGACTCTAAACAGTCTCAAAACAAATCGCCCAAAGGTTCAACAACCTCTCAAGGTTGGGAAACCGATGTCCCCCCTGTATCTGGGTCCGAAGAGAGTGCAGTACCAGGTATGACCACAAGGGAGCAGTGTACGCAATGCCTTCCTTCAACCAACGCGTCCACACAACCGGCTCCCAGTTTAGCCCCTGGCTTTCACCGTCCTCATCTCTGAACACACAGAGGGGATGGCTGGACGGATAGTGCAGTGGGTAGGGCGCTTGCCTTGCATGCGGCCGACCGTGGTTCCATCCCTGGTGCCCCATAGGGCTCCCCAAACCCCACCAGGAGTAATTTCCTGAGCACCATCAGGAATTCCTGAGCTCAAATTCCTGAGCGAAGAGAGAGCCAGAGAGATTACTGAGCACTGCCAGGAGGCATCCCTGAGACGTGCCAGGAGTCAGCCCTGTGCACTGCCATGAGTGATCCCTGAACGCAGAGCCAGGAGTGATCTCTGCACACGACCAGGAATGATTCCTGAGTGCAGAGCCAAGAGTCAGCCCTGAGCACAGAGCCAGGAGTCAGCCCTGAGGACCACCAGTAGTGAGCCCTGAGCACAGAACCAGGAGTCAGCTCTGAGCACGGTCAAGAGTGAGCCATGAGCACAGAGCCAGGAGTCCCTACTGAGAACCACCAGGCATGATTCCTGAGTGCAGAGTCAGGAGTGCTCTCTGAGCACTGCCAGGAGGAATTCCTGAACACAAAGCCAGAATCAAAGATTAAAATGCAGTTACCTGAATGCCAGTCAGGTACAATCAGTGTCAACCTGGGGTGCAAGGCAAGTGCCCCTCCAGGCTGGCTCTGCCCCCCCCCCCCCAACTGCTTCTGAAAAACTAAGGTATGGCCAGGGACAGGGACCTTGCAGCCCATCCTTCGCCCTTGGGAGCTCTGGGTTCAGTTCCCAGCCCCCAGAGCCATGCGCACTGCACAAGTAACTGCACATCTTCTGGAGAAACACCAGGCCCTTCTTCCGGGCAGAATGAAGTGTGGGGCGGGGTCTCTGGAGAGGAACTTGAAGGAATGCCCCTAAACCCTCACCCCCCGTGAGTGGACGGCAGTTTTGGGAACTGATTTTAAGTGCCCTGAGCACTTTCCACTTTCTGGGACGCAGGAGGAAGCCTGGAATCTCTCTAGGGATGGGGCGCGCCTTGCATCACCCGGGCACCCCCGCCTCGCGCCGGACCCTGGGGGCCCGTCCTGTCCCAGCCCCCTCTCCCCCACCCCCCAATTCATTCTCCGCAGGGGGCGAGGGCGCCTTGGGGGAGGGTCTGGGACAGACCCTTGGAGATGGGGGCGGGGGGGGGGGGCTGGCGGGAGCTGAGGCGTTGAGGGGTCCGCACCGGGTCGCCCCTGCCAGGGTCTGCGGGCTGCGGGGAAGTGGCCGCGGGTCTATTTCAGACTTTATGGTACGAGCGGGCGGCGCCGCCCAGACGACACTCCCCAGCCGTTAGGGGAGCGGGAGGGGAACGCAGGGGTGTGGTTAGCGGGCGCAGGGGGAGGCGAAGCAGGGCGTTCGGACCTGCCAGCGCGCACCCCGCGGGGTCCACCTGCCGCGCGCGCACCGACCCGAACGTCCCGTGCGCCCACCGCGCGCCCCTGCCCGTGCGGCGTCCGTCCTGCGCTCGGGCCAGTCCGTCCGTCCTGCGCTCCCTCCGTCCGTCCGTCCGTCCGTCCTGCGCTCCGGCCCGTCTGTCCGCAGCCGCGCTCACCTGCCCGTCCGGCCGTGCGTCCTGCGCTCCGGTCGGTCCATCGGTCCTGCGCACCGGCCCGTCCAGCTCCGAAGAGCCGCGGCGCTGCCCCGTGAGTCCCGGCGCCGCCCGAAGCTGGAGGTGCACAGGTGGGCAGCGGGGGGACCCCGCGTTGAGCGCCGACGGGACGGTCACGCGGAGACCCTCCAGGCTCCGGCCTCCGGGGATGGGGGCTGCGGGCCGCGGGCCGGAAAGGGCAGCGCAGGGCCGGGCCCCAGTCACTCTGCGCCCGGCGGGCCCCCCGGCCGGTGTGAGTGTGAGAGTTGTTTGGGTGTGTGTGCAGCCGGTGTGCTGTGGCTGTGAGTGTTGACAACGTGCTAGGGAGTGCCAGGGTGCAGGGTTGGGTATAAGGCTGGAGAGTGCGTGTGTGAGTGTCCATGTGTGTGCACGCACGTATGTATGTGTGTGTGTCTGTGTGTGTGAGCGCGCATGTGTGTGAATTCCAGGGTCTGTGTGCGTGTGAGCGCGTGTGAGTCCCTGTGTGTGTGTGTGTGTGTGTGTGTGTGTGTGTTTGCTGGGCTGTGTGTGAGTACTGAGGTCTGAGTTCTGCTGTGTGTATACGTACTGCATTGTGAATACTAGTATGTGAGTCCTGGCATCTATGTATGAGTCCTAGTTGTATTTGTATGTGTGTTGTGTGTACTGAACTGTGTGTGAGCCCTGGAGTATGTTTGTGAGCCCTAGGGTGTGTTTGTCCAGGAGTGTACGTGTGTATACACGGGCTAAGAGTACTGGAGTGTGTGTGTGTGTGTATGTGTGTACAGGGCTATGTGTGAGTACTGGAGTATGTGTGTGTGTATGGGGCCGTGTGTGAGTACTGGAGTGTATGTGTGTGTACGCAGCTGTATGTGAGTGCTAGAGTGTGTGTGTGTACGAAGCTGTGTATGAGTGCTAGAGTGTGTGTGTGTATGTGTGTGTGCGGAGCTGTGTGTGAGTGCTGGAGTGAGTGTGTGTGTGTGTGTGTGTACAGGGCTGTGTGAGATACTGGAGTGTGTGTGTACGGGGCTGTGTGTGAGTTCTGGAGTGTGTGTGCACAGGGCTGTGTGTGATACTGAGCGTGTGTGTATGTGTGAGTACGGGGCCGTGTGTGAGTACTGGAGTGTGTGTATGAGTCCTGGTTGTGTGTTGTGCGTGCACGTGTGCGGTGGGGGAGCCCACCTGGGGCTGCAGCATGGCCACTGCAGGGTTAACTCCGGCTGTCAGGCTGTGCGTGGGCACCTGTGGGCGCTCAGGGAACGCCTGGGCGATGTTCTGAGCCCGCCCCCGCCCTAGCCTCTGCCATCTGACACTGCCGCCCCCACTCCACGTGGGCAGTCCAGGGTCTCCTGTGCGCTTGTGGGGGCCCGGCTTGGATGAGGAGACCCCCGTCGGGGGTTCCCCAATGCGGGGGACAGACACAGCTGATGGCAGCTGCAGGTCTTGCTGTGATGCAGGGGTGCGGAGCCCTGGTCTCCCCGCCCCAGGCTGCACCCCGGCTCTGCCCTGTGCTCTCCCAGCGTGGGCGTAGGGGCACAGAGCCCGGAGGAGAGGTGGCAGGAGAGATGGGACCCAGGGCTGACAGGCTCTGGCCAGAATGGACAGCTCCCTTGGGCTGTCTTCCTCCCTCCCTCCCTTCCTCCCTCCCTCCCTTCCTTCTCTCCTTCCTTCTCTCCTTCCTTCCTTCCTTCTCTCCTTCCTTCTTCCTTCTTTCCTTCTTTCTCTCCTTCCTTCCTTCTTTCTCTCCTTCCTTCCTTCCTTCCTTCCTTCTTTCCCTTCCTTCCTTCTTTCTCTCCTTCCTTCC